TTTTAAAAATTAGCCAGGCATGGTGGTACATGCCTGTGATTCCTGCTACTTGGGAGGCTGAGGTGAGAGGATAGCTTAAGCATGGAAGGTTGAGACTGCAGTGAGCTTTGATCCTGCCATTGTACTCCAGCCTGGCAACAGAGTGAGACCCTGTATCCAAAAAAAAGAGAGACACCATGGAAGCAAGCAAAAAAAAAGAAAATCCTAAAATAGTTACTCCAGTTTATGGGAATATGGATGACTTTCTTCTTTGCCCTTTTTGTTATTTTATTTTTTGTTGTTGTTGTTCAGATGGAGTCTTAACTCTGTTGCCCAGGCTGGAGTTCACTGGCACGATCTTGCCTCTCTGCAACCTCCACCTCTTGGATTCAAGCAGTTCTCCTGTCTCAGTAGAGACGGGGTTTCACCTTGTTGGTCATGCTGGTCTCTAACTCTTGACCTTGTAATCTACCTGCCTCAGCTTCCCAAAGTGCTGGCATGACAGGCTTAAGCCACCACACCTGGCCTTGTTATCTTTTTTTTTTTTTTTTTTTTACTTTATAGAGGCAAGGTCTTGCTATGGTGTCCAGGCTGGAGTGTAGTGGCTATTCACAGGCACTTACACAGCACACTGCAGCATTGCTCAAGCATTCCTCCCACCTCAGCGTCATGAGTAGCTGGGACCACAGTTGGACACCATCACACGGGTCTTTTGGAGATTGTTTGACCTTTTCAAAAATGTCATACAATCGGAATCATATAGTATGCGTGAATCACGTAGCCAAAGTTTTCATTTCACTTAGGTAAACACCTAGGAATAGGAGTGCTGGGTTATATGCAAGTGTTAAACTTCCTAAGAAGCTGCCAAACTGTTTTCCAAAGCATCTGTACCATTTTCCTGTCCCACCAGCAATAAAGCATTCGTTAGTCTACATACTCACCAATGCTAGTGTAGTCAGAAGGTATAGTTTTAATTGTTCACATTCTAACAGATGCAGAGTGGCATCTCGTCGTGATTTTAATTTCCATTTTCCTAATGAATATCTTTTCTCATGCATTTGTCATTCATGTATCTTTAGTAAATTGTCTTATTGTTTTGCCCATTTTTAAAAGTTGAGTTTTCATATTGTTCAATTTTGAGAGTTCTTCGTATATTCTGGACACAAGTCCTTTGTCAGACATGTGATTTGCAAATATTTTCCCCCAGAGTTTTTCCGGTCTTGTCAGTCCCTTAATAGTGTTTTTAGGAAGGAGAGCAGCTGCTTTTAATTTTGATGAAGTTTGTCAATTGTTTTTCTTTTATGGATCGTGCTTTTGGTGTAGTATCTGAGCACTCTTTCTTAAACCAGTCAGATGTCTTCTGTTTTCTTTGAAGCGTTATAGGTTGAGGTACATTTTGGTCTATGATCACTTTTGAGCTACTTTTTATATATAGATAAGATATGGTTTGAGGTTGTGTTTGGGATTTTTTTTCTTCCTGCATGTGAATGTTCAGTTGTTCCAGCACCGTTTGTTGAAAAAACACTATCCTTTCTCTATTAATTTGCCATTTTACTTTTGTCAGTTGATTGTATTTGTCGGTCTATTTTTAAACTCCATTCTATATTATGTCTACATCATGAACTTCATAGTGAGTCTTGAAATTAGGTAGTGTGGGTCTTCTCTCTTGTTCTTTTCAAAATTGTTTTGGCTCTTCTAATTCCTTTACTTTTCCTACATAAATTTTAGAAACAGCTTATTGATTTCTGCCACTTTCCCCTAAAAAGCCTCTTGGGAATTTGACTAAGTTTACATCTGATCTAATAAATGATTTTGGAAAGAAGTGATATCTTAGCAATACAGTCTTTTCTGATAACACTTTCTGTTTTAGTTCTTTTTCTCATTTAATAATTTTCCAACATTAAAATCTTGGACAAATTTAGATTTATATCTGAATAATTCCAGTTTTGTTGCCATTTCAAATGGTACATAATCCTTATTTTATAGATGAGAAAATTAAGTAACTTCCCCAAGTCACACAATTATTAAATGACAAAGCCAGATTGAAATCTATGAGCTTATAAACTAATGTCTTGTTTTGAACTACAGTACTAGTTTTCTTAAATTGTTGTAAACTGAGGTAGAGAGGAAGCCCTAACATCTTTTAAGAAAAATCCTGCTACTGTAATTCATAAAAGAATTGGTCCTTCCCACATTTATGTATTTTCAGCGTTTCAGTTTTCCAGATCTGTTCAGATGATAAACCATGTTTTTTTTCTTCCTCTTGGAGACAGAATCTTGCTCTGTCACCTAAGCTGGAGTGTAGTGGTGTCATAGCTCACTACACCCCTGAACTCCTGGGCTCAAGTGACCCTCCTACCTCAGCCTCTTAAGTAGCTGGGACTACAGGCGCATGCCCACACCTGACTGACTTTTTTTTTTGTAGAGAAGGTCTCTCACTATGATGCTTAGGCTGATCTTGAACTCCTGGGTTCAAGCGATCCTCCTGCTTCAGCTTCCCAATCTCACCTGTGTTGAGATTACAGGTGTGAGCCACCACACCCAGCCTCCATGCTCATCTTAATCTACAAGCCTTCGGTTGACACATTTCTGAATCAGTGTTTTTTAAACAGTATACTATATCCAGCAATTAATCAGTATGATTTCAGTATGTGTACCTTTAGCATGTGAATAGTTTTTGTGCTCACCAGTTGAAATACAAGGACAGGATTTTTTTTTTTTTTTAAACAACTCTCAGTCTTGTGGCGGGGGTAGTGGTATATAAGCCATAATAGATACCTGTGGTCAGTGGTAACAAAAAAAAAAGCTATACTTGGTTGGGGTTACAATAGCTGCATTTCATGTTTTGAAGTTCCTTTGATAGCTGGATATTTTTACAAAATGAGAATATTTGTAATCTTAATTTGCTGCTTCTCCTATGAAATGAAGAATATTCTAATGCTGAAATCTGTTAAACATTGATAACCTACAAGTTGATTTTATTTTTTAGGTCTCTTTATGAATAAAGAAATAAAAGCAAATAGAATCTTATCAGATAAGTGCTTTTATAAGTCTAAATATATTTTATTCTTTGGAATCTCTAAAGCAAAACTTTTAAACTTTTTTTTTTTTTTTTTTTTTTTTAGGTACCAGCATCAAGATGATTTATGGTAATAAGGTGCTCAGTCTTTGCTTAAAATAAATTTTACATTTATCAAAGTAAAATGTACCAGCTTTTTATTTATTAATCCTGTTTAATGTGTATGAAAATCACTTGGTAACTGGGCATGGTGGCTCATGCCTGTAATCCCAGCACTTTGGGAGGCTGAGGTGGACAGATAACAAGGTCAGGAGTTTGAGACCAGCCTGGCTAATACAGTGAAACCCCATTAGCCGGGCGTGGTGGCAGGTGTCTGTAATCCCAGCTACTTGGGAGGCTGAGGCAAGAGAATCTCTTCAACCCGTGAGGCAGAGGTTGCAGTGAGTTGAGATCGCGTCACTGTACTTCAGCCCGAGTGACAGAGCGAGACGCCATCTCAGAAAAAGAAAATCACATCACTTGATTTTCTTTCCTAAGAGTTGAAGAGCTAGGTGTGTCTGCTTACATTATGGCATCTATAGATGTCAAACCCCCCACTGGTTCTTTAAAACCAGTGTCTTTTAAAGAGGGTTTTAACTATGCTGGTGTAAATTTTAAAGGATAGATTGAAAGAATAAAGATTCATGTGCCATTCATACTTTGGAACTTTGGGGAAGTATAGGAATGACCATAGATTGGCTTAGGGATAGTCACTTTATCCGTCTGTAAATGGATCCAATTTAGTGTTGTTCCTGTATTTTTCTAAAACCGATCCTTGTGTCATTCACAATTAAATATGAGTTGTGGCCAGGCCCGGTGGCTCACGCCTGTTATTTCAGCATTTTAGGAGGCTGAGGTGGGCAGACTGCTCAAGTCCAGGAGTTCAAGACCAGCCTGGGCAACATAGTGAGATGCCATCTCCACAAAAAATTTTAAAAAGTTAGCCAAGCATGGTAATGCTTGCCTGTGGTCTGTGGTTCCAGCTACTCGGGAGGCTGAGGTGGGAGGATTGCTTGAGCCATATGCTCTAATATATTTTAAAATACGTATTTTTAAATATATTTTGAGTGGTAATATATAGCAGATAATGTTACATAAAAGAAGCCATGATAATGACATATGACATTACTGGTTTTGAGTTGTTTGTGTAGTAGTTAGCTATTAATATTCAGGTATAATGATTTGCTATTTAAACTACACAAATGCTCAAAGTCCAGTGATACCCTGCACGCAAATTTCACTGGCTAGATTACCTTCTTAGGAAAGCATAACACTTGAATGGAGTGACACTGGCGTGAGTCCACTAGAGGGTGTGTATACGTGGCCTGAGTTCAAATTGTTTGTTCCTGCTGTGAGTACTGCTTTTCAGCTTCAAGTTATTCTTCTTGGCCACAGTGCTGTTTATTCCACTTAGTAACAGTTCTGTTTACAGAGCACTTTCACATAAATTCTGATTTTTAACATTAAAGCTGTCTGATGGTATTTTTGTTTTAATCTTTGGAGATCAAGACTTTTTTTAGTGACAGAATAGGGACTTTATTGATCCTTAAATCCACCCCTCACCACAATGAAGGAAAAAAGCAAAAACATTCTTGGCTCATGCATTGAACGATCTTTTTTGAGAAGGGTCAGTTTTTGAAAAATTATCCAAAACTGAAACATCTTTCATCTTTCTCACACCTAAAGATTAAAAGTGATTGATTACCACCAGTTATTTCACTAAATATGAAAGTGGGAAACCATATCAATTATTTGTCCACTAAGTTGGTAAGCCCAGGAGAATATGATCTGTAAATTCTAGTTGAGTGATGAAGATGGGGCTTTGAATTAATCTACAGTCTTGGAATTAATTCTGCAGCGTTTTAACCAAAAAATTTTTCAGTAGTCATAAATCTATATTTTAAAATTGAGTAAATGTCCTCATTTACCCCCACCAATTTTGTAAAGCAGATATTAACCAAACTTCAATAGTTATAAGACAAAAATTTAATGAAAATTGGACAGTATGTATAATCCAGGGCTAAATAGTTACATTGGACTGGAGTAGAAATTTAAAATACAATAGATGCTGGAGTAAATGTTACATATTATCATCATCTGATTCATCTTCTTCCTTCAGAGATTCCTGTTAAGAGAAAATAGGTGTTTAAAATTGATTTTTAAAATTGTTATATTCCATACCTGTGGGCAAGTTAAGCTACAACCACCTGAGTTAAGTAGTTAAATTCCTTTACTTGTAACTGAATGAACAGTTCTAGAATAAGATACCCACGCAAGGCCAGGAGCGTGGTGGCTCAAGCCTGTAATCCCAGCACTTTGGGAGGCTGAGACAAGCGGATCATGAGGTCAGGAGATCGAGACCATCCTGGCGAACACAGTGAAACCCTGTCTCTACTAAAAAAAAATACAAAAAAACTAGCCGGGCGAGGTGGCGGACGCCTGTAGTCCCAGCTACTCGGGAGGCTGAGGCAGGAGAATGGCGTAAACCCGGGAGGCGGAGCTTGCAGTGAGCTGAGATCCGGCCACTGCACTCCAGCCTGGGCGACAGAGTGAGACTCCGTCTCAAAAAAAAAGACTAAGGGTGATTTTTGAGACTCTGTCTCAAAAAATAAAAAAAGATACCTGCGCAAAGATAATTAAGCAAATATTGCTCTAACATGCAATGACTGTATCTTTGATAGAATGTATACTTAAGAGGCCAGGTGCAGTGGCTCAAGCCTGTAATCCCAGCACTTTGAGGGCCGAAGTAGGCAGATCACCTGAGGTCAAGTTTGAAACTAGCCTGGTGAAAACTCGTCTCTGTATTATTGGTGAAACCAAAAATGCAAAAATTAGCCAGGTGTGGCGGCGTGCTCCTGTAATCCCAGCTACTGGGGAGGCTGAGGCAGGAGGATTGCTTGAACCCTAGAGGCAGAGGTTGCAGAGCAGAGATGGTGCCACTGCACTCCAGCCTGGGTGACAGAGCAAGACTCTGTCTCAAAAAAAAAAAAAAAGAACATATACTTAAAAGTCCTAAAAAAACTCTGCACTCTAAACCCCCCACAATTTTTTTGGAACCAAGGCAACTGTACCCACTAGAGATAACCTAGAAAATTTCTATCCTTAGTTCAACTGAACTATTAGTGATATTTAATAGAAGCCACCCAAGTTGATTTATATTATTCAACACAATTTTGGTTAGAGGATTTTGTTTTGTTTTGTTTTGTTTTTAAATTAGGGATGGGGTCTTGCTGTGCTGCTCAGGCTGGTCTTGAACTCCTGGGCTAAGTGATTCCCCGCACTGTACCTGGCCAAGAGAAGTTTTTGTGCTGTGGCTTACCTTAGCATATTTCTCTGCTTCTTCCCTTATATCTTTTGGAACAATTTCATGTCTTCCATTAGTTACTGTAAATTAAGCCACATATGTAAATGAATTTTAAATTGAGTACTGTATTGTAACTTGCAGTATACCACAGGATCTACCCAATCCACAGATCTGCCTCACCTAGGGTTGCAAAGTTGTACTATGAGTAATACTAAAATATTTTAGTGTGCTGCTTCCACGTGAGATTATATGTGCCTACACATTAAGTTCTTATGAAAATGAAAGTAAATTATGCTATAATTTATAAATCCTGAGCATTAACTTATAGCATAGTATCTTTAAAACCATGAAATGGATGTTTCAAAAAATAACCTGTTCACAGCTTAAGTCAATTATTAAGCAGAACTTTCCCTTCATTTAGACAACCTAGTAAATTTGTTTTAGCTTTCATTATTTTAGAAAGGACTCCCAGTTGTAAATTAGCTGTGGTACAGATAATTCCTAAGGCAAATAAATGTACAAAAATAACTTACATTCACCAACCCAGCTGAGTTCTAGTTCAAAAGCTTTATCCTTAACTTCATCATGTACTATGTAAATTCTAGAACAGAAAAGGGAAAGGTAAGATTTTGGTAACCTCCAAACATTGTAGTAGTTCACAGATCCACAGTCAGTACAAATTAGAATGTCCATCCATAATAAAATTATACAATTACACAGACACATTCTACATAGCATTTAACATTAGAGAAGACAAATTACACAGGGACTGAAATGAAACATTTGCTCTCCCAACAAATATTCAGTATATCTAATCAACCCAAGTTCAGTTTATTTTTGCACATTGCTTTAGAGATATAACTTGGGTGGGTGCAGTGAGTGGCTCACACCTGTAATCCCAACACTTTGGGAGACCAAGGCTGATGGATCACTTGAGGTCAGGAGTTTGAGACTAGCCTGGCCAACATGGTGAAACCCTCTCTCTACTAAAAATACAAGAATTAACTGGGTGTGGTGGTGGGTGCCTGTAATCCTAGCTACTCAGGAGGCTAAGGCAAGAGAATTACTTGAACCCAGGAGGCAGAGGTTGCAGTGAGCCAAGATCACACTACTGCACTCCAGCCTGGGCTACGGAGAGAGACTCCGTCTCAAAAAACAAAAGATATAACTATAAAAGATACCTCATAAAGAAAATGGATTCACTAGGAAGAAGTGTCATTAACTGTGCCCTTTTAGGAAATTTATTTTTTGTCCCATTAATTTTAATATTTTTAAAGCCAACTAATTGGCTAGGAACGGTGGCTCGTGCCTGTAATCCTATCACTTTGGGAGGCAGAGGTGGGCGGATCATGAGGTCAGGAGATTGAGACTCTGTTTCAAATAAATAGGTAAAACCAACTAATTTATGTGTTTGCAATTATTATGGTCTCTTCAACCTACAGCTGCTTGTCAGTAGTCTTTTTAAGCTCCTTGTCCATTTTATAATGGCTTATATGCCACAAAACCTGGCCTTCACATTGTAGTACTTTACAAATTACAGCAAAGAAGGAGGCACTGCCATGCAACATATTAAAGTAACATAAAAAGTATCAAGAGGCCAGGTGTGGCGGCTCACATCTATAATCCCAGCACTTTGGGAGGCCAAGGCAGGTGGATCACAAGGTCAGGAGTTCAAGACCAGCCTGGCCAAGATGGTAAAGCCCGTCTCTACTAAAAATACAAAAATTAGCCAGGCGTGGTGGTAGGTGCCTGTAATCCCAGCTACTTGAGAGGCAGATGCAGGAGAATTGCTTGAACATGGGAGGTGGAGCTTGCAGTGAGCCAAGATTGTGCCACTGCCCTCCAGACTGGGCAACAGAGCAAGGCTCCATCTCAAAAAAAAAAAAAAAAAAAATCAAGAAATTAAGTACAGTAGCAGAGTATAGCTTTTATCTAATACTTTCCACTGAGTTACACACCTTACTTTTTGGAGGGTCTTCTAAAACCTTGCTATAATATGAGAGGATCTCAATTTTTTAGAAGTAAAAGATAACATGCTGCTCCATTTTCTTAAATGAAGAAGGGATGGCTTTCCTAACATGGAACACTTAATAGATGACTATCATTATACCTAAATATAAAAGATGGCAAGAACTGATTTCCAGAAGCACTTCAAAGGATTGGTTCAGTGAAGGAAACAGAGTATATCATGATAAAATACTACACAATTCAAGGAAGATAAATGACTTCCTTTCTTAGCAGTTCTGCTGTATGTTGGTTCCTAATGTTGCCGTTAGAATGGCTTCTGCCTGCTTCACAACTGAAACTGGAAGGGTGGAGGGGAGGAGGAAGCAGGAGGGGTAAAGGCAGTAGCAGTAATGATGGACCAGTTTTATTAAGAGACTGAGTGTCATGTAAATAGTATGTTTATTATACAATAGAGCCCATTGGAATTTTTTTTCTTCCTTGTATTGTTAGATGTAAAACCTGAGACACTACCGTACAGAGAGCTGATTGACTAGACCTTGTTCATGTAGTTCTAATGTGGAATAGTTAGAGGTGTTATGAATTATCTGAATATAACTTTTGAATCTAAAAAGCTGGCTATACAACGTGTTTTGTTGGAATCTTTGTAATACCAAATGTCTACACTCTTATCTAGAAGAATAAAAAAATTTTTGAAACATCACTACCCAGGTTAATTGACTTTTTTATTGCTTACTGTCTAAATACCTGTTACATATTAATAGTATTCTAGTTTACATACCTGTCATCAACTATTCAGGGTTTCTTAAGCTAGTTTTTGAAATGTTTTGTAATACTGCTCTTACCTTGTTATAGGAACTTTTATAATAAACCTGAAAAAGTGAAACATATCTTTCCCAAATAAACAGATTATGTAAATGAGCCAGCTTCGTGGATCATGTATGGAAATAATTAGTTGTAAACCTATAAAGTTTCTAAGCATTCTTAGAGGCAATCTAAGATTATTAGTAGTAGTACTTAAGAGATTTGAGAAGTTGGGAGCTAACAAATTAAGGCCCTAATGGTACATTATATGTCCTTAACCTGTAACAGGAGTTTGTCAAAAGCTATTTTTCCCATCCTATTCATTACTACTAAAAAATGTGGCTTGAAAACATTTTCCTCCTTCGTGAGGCTTCTTAGAATGTTAAATTTACCTTCTAAAACACACTAAGTTATTTTACAGGAAAACAGCCTCTTAGGATTAATGTAATATATATATGCAAAGGTCAAGTGAAATACTTTTGTGGATGGTAAGAAAAATTTCAACTTACATTTTTGCAACTTCTTTAACAATATCACGGCAGGTCATTTCTTTCATCTACAGAAAATAAAATGTATATTCATCAGAAGAACATTTTCCACTTGTGTAATTATTTTCACTTTTATACTCAGATATAAAACCAAGGAAAATAACCTGAAGTCTGAAAAAGACCAGAATCGAAGTTTCCTGATTCATATTTTAATGTTTTGAAATTTATACGCCAGGCCAGGCGCAGTGCCTCACGCCTGTAATCCCAGCACTTTGGGAGGCCAAGGCAGCCGGATTGCCTGAGGTCAGAAGTTCAAGACCAGCCTGACCAACATGGTGAAACCCTGCCTCTACTAAAATTACAAAATAGCCAGGCACGGAAGTGGTGTGCCCCTGTAATCCCAGCTACTCAGGAGGCTGAGGCATAAGAATCTCTTGAACCCAGGAGGCAGAAGTTGTAGCGAGCCGAGATTACGCCACTGTACTCTAGTCTGGGCGACAGAGAGACTCCGTCTCAAAAAAAAAGAAAAAAAAGTTTATACACCAAAAAAGATATTCTGAGATATCCTATAGTTACCACTAACTTTGTGATAAAATTATAAAAATCCACAGCCATCTATAAATCTGAAGTCTGACCTGAAGTTTGAACGACTGGAGAAGACATCTGATTATCTTTATAGCCAATTTAGGCTAATAAAATGCAAACAAATCATTAATGTCTACTATATGCAAGATACAGAAAGATGAAGGAAGGAGTAACAAATCATCCTTTGTGGAACTATTCAAAGCAAAAATGCAAAATACCAGGGAGAGCTTTGAAGAACCAAGATTTGAGCAGGTTCTTAGAATATAGATTGGATTGGATTGGATTTCAAGAGAGATGAACGTATAAAGCAGAAGTGGGAAGCCAAAAGCTTTTTTCCAAATTAGAATTAAGCATTCTTTCAATGAACACTTGGAAATCAAGGTAGAAAAGTACCCCTAGGGCCTAGTTGAGGAGTCTGTATGCCGTTAGGTTTTGATAGTAACCAGTGCAAGATTTTATCATCAGACATACAGGTTTCTGAATAGACAGGCATTTCTGAACAGACATGACAGGATCAAAGCAATGTTTATGCAAACTGCCCTTCATCTATCGTGGATACATTGGGGGATGATGGAATATAGTGAAAGATAACAGGTGTTCATACAGCAGTCTAGACTTTAGGTGATTCAACTACTATATATTTAAGCTAGATTATCTTTTTTTCTTTTTCAATTTTGAAATCTGGATGCTCAAGCTATGCCTGCACAACCACATGAGGAAGAAGGAACAATGACAACAACAAAACACTAAATTTAAGAATACTAATCTTAGGAAATAGATAAACCATTATTTGGGTACAACTAAAGGCAAGTGGCATAGACTCTTAAAGAAATATTTTGGCCGGGCGCGGTGGCTCAAGCCTGTAATCCCAGCACTTTGGGAGGCCGAGACGGGCAGATCACAAGGTCAGGAGATCGAGACCATCCTGGCTAACACGGTGAAACCCCGTCTCTACTAAAAAGTACAAAAAAAAAGTAGCTGGGCGAGGTGGCAGGCGCCTGTAGTCCCAGCTACTCCGGAGGCTGAGGCAGGAGAATGTCGTGAACCCGGGAGGCGGAGCTTGCAGTGAGCTGAGATTTGGCCACTGCACTCCAGCCTGGGCGACAGAGTGAGACTCCGTCTCAAAAAAAAAAAAAAAAAAAAAAAAATTTGGGGAAGAAAAAGACTAAAAGAGATCTAAGGAAGAAAACGTGAACCTCGACAGTTTGAAACAGTTAAAAAGGCAGTGTAGAAATTGCTCAGGCAGTTTGATTATGGACTGTTAGATGATACTTGGGTCTGATAATGGTATAAGGAGAATAAAGTATTTAGGGATGCAATATGCCTGCAGCTTTTTTCAAATAGTTTATAGGGGAGGGGGATGTGTAAGTGGTTAACTGAAGTCTAACTAGGTGAGTTTGTTGTAAGCTTATGATGTTTACAGTTCTTCATGTTAAATTGAGGGTGATCACAGGAAGGGAAAGAATACTGATCTTTAAATTTTTGCCCTTATTGGTTAAGTTCTGTATTTAGTGAATTAACTGCATCCTACAAAGTCAAACTTGAAAAGCACATTTTAAATGGCAAATATATTTTTACATATGTTTGTAAAGTTTTTATTTTTTGGTAAACTATCAGAAGAGAACAATGATACAGAGCAGGGGTCAGCAGATGGATTCTGTAAAGCATCAACTTGTAAATATTTTCAGGTTTATTAGCTGTATGGCTCTGGTTTCTGTTCCCTGTTCCAAATGTTATAGTCTACTGTTGTATTTTCTAAAAGTAGCCATGGACTGAATGTAGCTGTGTTCCAATAAAACTTACACAAAAGCAGGCAGTGGGCCATAATTTGTAACACCTGATTCACAGCATAATTTTGTCACAAACTGTAAGTGTTCCTCAATTAAAGTGATTTTTTTTCTTGACTTTTTTTCTGGGACTTACTGTTTTTCCCATTCCTTACTAGGATTTAACTACAGAAAGATAGTAACTGCTCTAAATATTCTAATTTCCTTTATTTTTTTGAGATAAGGTGTCGCTCTGTCGCCATGGCTGGAGTGCAGTGACGTGATCACAGCTCGCTGTAGCCCCCAACTCCTGGGGCTCAAACAGTCCTCCTGCTTCAGCCTCCCAAGGAGCTAGGACTACAGGTACATACCACCTCACCTCGCTAACATTTTGTTTTAGGAGATAGGGTCTCACTCTTTTGCCTAGCCTGGTCTTGGAGCTCCTGAGCTCAAGCAATCCTCCCAACTTGGCCTACCAAACTGGTAGGGTATTACAGGGGTAATCCCCCTCAACTAGTATAAATATTCTAATTTTCAAATTTCCATATAATAGTATGGAGAGATGAAAACAAAAGGAAAAGAGTAGAAGATAGGAACCTAGCATCAGACTAGTAAGTGTGCAATGGAAAAGAACGTAGGTCTAAGACTCATAAGGTCTGGATACTGTTCAGAACCAGCTGATTCTGTGGTCCTATGCAGTGTGTTTAATCTGCAGCTGAGCTTGGGCTAAATGACCTCTAAGATCCTTTTGTCAACTTTACTAAAATACGAAACAAATTAGGCTTTATAGATGGTTCTAGAACTCAGCATTGTATAAATGCCAAGCGCAAATAAGTATTTTCTAGAAGCAGGTCTTAAATAAGTTGAATGAGTAGTTGAGAAAGATTCTAGTACAGCATTAACATTTAAATGTATGTGAAATTTTATCTCACTTCAGTTTACCAAAACACTGATAAATTGTACATCTGCTTTTTAGGCAAGTTTCTGACAGGTCATCAATAATACTGAAACAGTATCCATGAAGTCTTTAAGTTGATCAATGTATGGCTAAAAGGAAAACCAAGCTTTTAAGAAAACTTTTTCACACTAATAGCTGTATGTTGTGAAAAAATAAGTGGGTAGCTGTAAGAGTATAGGCTAAAATTTATGCCTTATGTGGCTAGGAGCAAAGTTAAGAGAACCAATGGAGCACAGCCAGACATAAAAGCTGTGTTCCAAAGAAAGAAAGAATATAGGAAAAATATAATTTTATTAACTCAAAATTTTAAAATTTTCAAACTAGAGCTCACATAGATTCATAAATAGGTTTCAAAGATTTTGTGAAATCTCATCAAAAGCTGCGTTTTTCTAGGTTGAGGCTTTATAGCAGTTATTAAAAATCATAAAGGGATGTATAACACAACTCTGTAGATATGTTATAAGCTTTCACATTCAGTGACTTAGCAGCCTCATAAAGCTCTACTCTAAACATCAAACCACACTATATCCTTAAACCAAGCTTCTCCAGCCACGGGGCGCAGAGCCAAACACAAATTCAAACTTGAACACGTTACGAGATTTTTTTTTTTAAGCTCATCACTGTTGGTGTATTTTATGTGTGGCCCAGGGAAGCCAAATGATTGGACATCCCTGCCTTAGACTGAAATGTCTGTGGTGATAAAATTTCACTGCATTAGGATGACAATGTAGTAAAAATTCAAGCATTAATTATTACCTGAAGCTTCTCTATTTCCGTCTTTGCAGCTTGCCTGGCTTTGCCAATGGCACAGCCCCAATAACCCTATTTAGAAAAAAAAAATATATAATCACTGAATTAGTATGCTATCATATATAATTAATGACTATTAATGTTTCTATTTATAACCTAGTGAAAGGATGTTAAATGACTTTTAAAAGCAAGTATGGAAAAGTATAGTCAAACACATTCTGATGAATGCCAAAGGGCTCAAAAATATTAAAATACTAAACAATTCTAAAACTACCTCTATTTTTAATAGAGGTATATCCAAAAATATTTAAATTGCATAATCATATACACTTTGAGACATTTTGGGGAACATGAATGGGAAAGATTTTAGCACTATGAAAATGAAAAATGAAATTATATATTCCTGAGACACAGAAATAAAGTTAATTCCTATGAGTTCAGTACTCTAAACCCCAATGTTTTTATTTTGTAAATTTTTTTAAAGAAAAGGATGCACAGCCGGGCGCAGTGGCTCATGCCTGTAATCCCAGCACTACGGAAGGCTGAGGTAGGCGGATCACCTCAGGTTGGAGATCAGCCTGGCCAACATAGTGAAACCCCGTCTCTACTAAAAATACAAAAAAATTAGCTGGCTGTGGTGGCAGGTGCCTGAAATCCCAGCACTATGGAAGGCCGAGGTAGGCGGATCACCTCAGGTCAGGAGTTGGAGACCAGCCTGGCCAACATAGTGAAACCCCGTCTCGACTAAAAAGACAAAAAAATTAGCTGGCTGTGGTGGCAGGTGCCTGTAATCCCAGCTACTAGGGAGGCTGAGGCAGGAGAATCACTTGAATCTGGGAGCTGGAGGTTGCAGTGAGCAGACACCACGCCACTGCACTCCAGCCTGGGCAACAGAGTGAGACTCCATCTCAAGAAAACAGTTAAGAAGCGGTAATAATAGGCTGGGTGCGGTGGCTCACACTTGTAATCCCAGCACTTTGGGAAGCCGAGGCATGTGGATCACTTGAGGCCAGGAGTTCCAGACCAGCCTGGGCAACATGGTGAAACTCCGTCTCTACTTTTAAAAATACAAAAACTAGCCAGGTGTGGTGATATAGGCCTGTAATCCCAGCTACTTGAGAGAAGCTGAGGCACGAGAATCCCTTAAATCCGGGAGGCAGAGGTTACAGTGAGCCAAGATTACACCACTGCAGTCCAGCCTGGGTGACAGAGCAAGACTATCTCCAAAAAATAATAATAATAATTTAGGGAAAGCTCTTAGAAATCACATTTAAACCTTCTCTTTAAAAGGGAAGGTAGGGCAAGGTGGCTAACGCCTGTGATGCCAGCACTTTGGGAGGCCAAGGTGGGCGAATTACTTGAGATCCAGAGTTCAAGACCAGCCTGGCTAACGTGGTGAAACGTTGTCTCTACTAAAAATACAAAAATTAGCCGGGTGTGGTGGTGCATGCTTCTAATCTCAGCCTATTCGGGAGGCTGAGGCAGAATTGCTTTAACTGGGGAGGCAGAGGTTTGGCCTCTGGGCGACAGAGCGAGACGTTGTCTCAAACAAAATTAGGTCCAGTGCGGTGGCTCACGCCTATAATCCTAGCACTTTGGGAGACTGGAGTGCGCAGACCACTTGAGGTCAGGAGTTGGAGACCAGCTGGCCAACATGGCAAAACCCCATCTCTACTAAAAATACAAAAATTAGCCAGGCATGGTGGCAATATGCTTGTAATCCCAGCTAATTGGGAGGCTGAGACAGGAGAATCGCTTGAACCTAGGAGGCAAAGGAGGTTGCAGTGAACCAAGATCGAGCCACTGCACTCCAGCCTGGGAGACAGAGACTCCATCTTAAAAATAAATAAAATAAAAGAAAAGGGATGACATGGCTGGACATGGACGCTCATGCCTGTAATCCCACCACTTTGGGAGTCCAAGGCAGGAGGATTGCTTAAGGCCAGGAGTTTGAGACCAGCCCTGGGAACGTGGAAAGACCTTGTCTCTACAGACACCAAAAAAATACAAAAATTAGCCAGGCATGGTGGCATGGGCCTGTAGTCCCAGTTACTTGGGAGGCTTAGGTAGGAGGATCGCCTGAGCCCTGAAGTTAAGAGGCTGAAGTGAGCTATGATTGTGTCACTGCACTCCAGCCTGGGCAAGAGTGAGGAAAAAAAAAAAGAAGACATTAAATACAGTTTTAAGACAGTGTTTATAGTAAAAAAGGAAAATCACATATTCAAAATACTATATGCACTGTATAGCTTCTATAAATAACATACTGAAAACAACAAATCTTTCCTCTGCCTCGTATCGGTTATTAATGATAAACAAGAAAACATGGTTGGGCACGGTGGCTCACACCTGTAATACTCCCATTTTGGGAGACCCAGGTGGGTAGATCTCTTGAGGCCTGGAGTTCAACACCAGTCTGGCCAAAGTGGCAAAGGCCTGTCTCTACTAAAAATACAAAAAAATTAGCCAGGTGGTGCACACCTGTAATCCCAGCTACCCAGGAGGCTGAGGCAAAAGAATCATTTGAACCTGGGAGGCAGAGGTTGCAGTGAGCCGCTGTGCTCATCCAACTGTTGTTAGATCAACATCAGATCCAACATGAGCCATTGGATCACGCCACTGTGCTCCGGCCTGGGTCACAGAGTGAGATCCTGTTCCACCAAAAAGGAAAAAAAAAAAAATGCCGTTGGACAAGAGGTTGTTGTAAAAAAAAAAAAAAAAAAAATTCCTTGAATGAGTTTTTTAAAAATTTCATATAATCTTATAATGAGACTTAAATGCTAATGAAATACCATTAAACTAAAATAGAATTTCAAATGATTCAAAAGTACTCACGTATGAAACACCTGATGGGTCAATCATGTAGAGTTGCGCACCGTCATTCACACTGTAAGACCCTAACATGAAACTGCATAAAAGTATACAAACAGCTTAAACCATGGCAATAACATAAAAGTATTTTTGAAAAAATGATTAAAATGCAATTATATTTTGTTTCTGAGATAAATTACTAATATACATATAACTCATAGTACTTTCATACAGTGGTTTCAAATAATTAAAACTAGTACATACTTGAGATTATTCAAAATTCATGTAGCTTTTTTTGTTTGTTTAATATTAATCTTTCTGATTAAGGTCTCCTAGAAAGTCTAGCAGTACAGGGAAAGGAGTAATGATAAGATAGATGAAAATTGAAACTAATGAGAGGGCCCAAAAAATAAGGCATAAACACAAAAAGGTCAAGGGAACAAAATTCCTGGCAGAGAGTATACTGAATCCATGTGAAATCCTTTCTACCCTTCATTCTATTTCCCAATATCCTGCCAGTCATTTCTCTGCAATAATCAGAATTGGTTCAGTGTATTTTTCTATGCTCAATAAATTAGGCTATTAGCTGATTGTATGAAATACTGATTTTCTGAAATTGCAACATACAGTGGGCACTGTTTCCATGAGTTCTGCATCTGTGGATTCAACAAACCACAGATAGAAAACTTTCAAAAAACATTGCTTCTGTACTGAACAACTGTGATTTTCTTGTCATTATTCCCTAAACGATATAGTGTAACAGCTATTTACACTGTATTAGGTATTGCAAGTAATTAGAGATGACTTAACATATATAGGAGGATATGCACAGGTTATATGCAAATACTTAACCATTTTATATGAGGGACTTCAGCAACCTTGGATTCTGGTATTCATGGGAGGTCCTAAAACCAATCCCCCACAAAAACCAAGGGACGACTATATTTGCCTTAGAGTAGAAAAGAAACCAGCACCATCTTACACATCATCTCATATGCGGAATATTTTTAACTATTCAATTCCCATCCCTACCGTCATTTCCATCCATCTTCTACCCTGATATGAGACTTATCCTTCAGAATATATAGCTCATTGTCACTATTTTAAAGCCAACATTTTCTTTGCTGAAAATCAGCATGGAACACAGACTTTTACATGACTGGACCCCTTCCTACATCTTCAATATCATCTCTAAACCTCATACTCTACACACCAAGCATACTTAACTATCTCTGGCCCAAATATTTTCATACCAGTTCCTGTGCTTGCAACTACCAAGTCTCCTTACAGCTCACACTCTTTTCCTTGCCTCCTGTCCAGAAACATTCTGTTCCCTAATTGTTGTCCCTTTATCATATCACCTCTAAGATTTTATCAGTGTGACTTCACACCTGTGTCTCCACATCTATGACTAACTTAGTGCCCAACAGATGTTTACTGAAAAAGTTCTCTCTGGCCCGGCGCGGTGGCTCAGGCCTGTAATCCCAACACTTTGGGAGGTCAAGGTAGGCGGATCACTTGAGATCAGGAGTTCAAGACCAGTCTGGCCAACATGGCAAAACCCCATCTCTACTAAAAATAAAAAAATTAGCCAGGCGTGGTGGAAGGTGCTTGTAATCCCTGCTACTCAGGAGGCTGAGACAGGAGAATGGCTTGAACCCGGGAAGCAGAGGTTGCAGTGACCCGAGATCGTGCCACTGCACTCCAGCCTGGGCGACTCCATCTCAAAAAAAAAACAAAAGTTATGGGAAAAAAAAAGTTATCTCTACTATTTTTACTTCCTTGAAAAGAGGAGAGAAGTTTGATGAACTCAGAGCTCAGTTGAAAGGTATTCTACATAGTTTGAAAGCAAAGTGTTTCATAATGTAATTTAAGTGAGAGGCTTAAGAATGACTAATGTCAGCCTGAGCAGCATGGTGAGACCCCATCTCTACAAAAAAAAAAAAATTTAATTAGCCAGGCATCGTAGCCCATGCCTGTGGTCCCAGCTACTCGGGACACTGAGGTAGGAGCATCGCTTGAACCAGGAGGTGAAAGCTGTGGTCAGCCATGATGGCACCACTGCACTCCAGCGCAGGTGACAGAGCAATTGTCTCAAAAAGTAAAACAAAACATAAAACACTAATGTAACATTACCAATAGAATAAAACTCAAGTTTTCTTTAATATCTGTCTTAGTAATTAAATATGACTGATGATAAACAACTCAAAGGTAGGACTACAGCTGAGTACTCAGATGTTAGTATATGCACTATTTTGACCAAACATGTTTGACTTTTTTTAAGTCATAAGCCAAACATGTCTTTTCATTTTAGAAAAATCTAGTCATAAGTCTTCTCTGTGAAGCCAAATTTGAATATTTATACCTATTGCAGGTCTTTATGCAGCTGAATCCCCACTTCACCCCAAAATAAAGTATCAGCACTTCACTTTAACAGAAAGAAAAACTGTGCTTAATGGGAATTGTGAGATGTAATTTTGTATGGACTAATTACTGACTGCCAAAAATAATCTCCATTTAATAGCATATTACCTACAGGCTTAAAGTATATCAGATGGAAATTAATGAGAAAACTGAAGTATAATTGGCTGCTTAATGTTAACACAGCATATATTTAAAATTACCTAAGAATATCAGGGACTAATACCAGAGAGTTTATTATAATCAGATTAAAGTCATTGTTATCAGTTCCTTGTTTTATAATCACTTCAGATCTATATAGTCCTTTTCACTATTCAAACTTTTCTTTTTTTTTTTTGTAGAGGCAGAGTCTCTATTGCCCGGCTAGAGTACAGTGGTATGATCACAACTCACTCCACCATTGAACTCCTGGGCTCAAATGATCCTCCCAAGCAGCTCCTAAGTAGCTGTGACTACAGGCATGTGATACTGCACCTGGCTAAATTTTAAATTTTTTTGTAGAGATAGGTTCTCACTACGTTGGCCAGGCTGGTCTCATACTCCTGGGCGCAAGGGATCCTCCCACCTCAGCCTCCCAAAGTACTGGGATTACAGGCGTGAGCCATGGCACCCAGCCTCAAGTAGTTTCTATGTACACTGTTTTATTTAATAATTGCCCTAATACTTCTCGATAAGAGTTCCTATTTTTAAGTATGTAAAAGGCTAAGATGCTGGGGAACATAATAATTATCTATAGTACAGATCTGCCTTTTGAATAATTCACAAAATTTCATACCTGCAGCCAAAAGGTCTAACAGCACTGTAGAGTGTATATGCATGCACATACATGGCCACTCTGTCTGCAAGATGCTATGAAGGGAAGAAGAGCTTATTAATAAACTTCTATTACTGTCCAAAAGGTTTCTCAACATGTTATCAACTTACTTTTAGTGGAATGTTGTAGCCAAAGTTAGACCTAAAGTTGGAAGCTTCTTCTCTTGCTATGTCTGCTAAAGAACGAGCATCTGCCAACAAACCTGCTACTGCCTGAAAAAAAATCACCAATTTACTAGAGGAACACATTCCTATCACAAATCAAAGTTTGCAATTATTATAGATTTACTAAATTTTTTTAACAAGTATTACCATTCAAAATAAAACTTTTTTGGCTTAAAGGCTCTCTACAAGGCATTCTGATGCTTGAGTATGAAATTATAATTTAGAAATTTACTAAGTATAACTTCATATATTCAGGACTATTTCCTTTTTTTTTTTTTTTTTTTTTTTTCTGTGACAGAGTCTCGCTCTGTTGCCTGGGCTGGAGTGCAGTGGCCTGATCTCCACTCACTGCAAGCTCCGCCTCCTTAGTTCGCGCCATTCTCCTGCCTCAGCTTCCCTAGTAGCTGGGACTACAGGCGCCCGCCACCACGCCCGGCTAATTTTTTTGTATTTTTAATAGAGACAGGGTTTCACCATGTTAGCCAGGATGGTCTCGATCTCCTGACCTGGTGATCCACCCGCCTCGGCCTCCCAAAGTGCTTGGATTACAGGCGTGAGCCACCGTGCCTAGCCAATATTCAGGACTACTTCTATCATAAATCCTCTTCCCCTGATTTACTACCTCATTATAAAGAAAAAAAACCATGGATCTTGGTCAGATTTCATCTTTTTTTTTTTTTTTTTGAGACAGAATCTCACTGTGTCACCTAGGCTGGAGCGCAATGGCGCCATCTGGGCTGACTGCAACCTTTGCCTCCCAGGTTCAAGGGATTCTCCTGCCTCAGCCTCCCCAGCAGCTGGAATTGGCTAATTTTTGTATTTTTAGTAGAGACAGAGTTTGGTTTTGCCATGTTAGCCAGGCTGGTCTTGAACTGCTGACTTCAGGTGATCAGCTTGCCTCAGCCTCCCAAAATGTTGTGATTACAGGTGTGAGCCACTGTGCCTGCCCCAATTTTGACCTTTTCTCTAAAGTTATTACAGGTTGAGGATATCTAATCCAAAAATCTGAAATTTAAAACATTTCAGAATCTGAAACAAACAAACAAAGAAAAAACAGAACTGCAGTTACTATGTATGTGCCGAGAAGCCCTCAGGCACTGCAGTGAAATCACATGTTAGTGTGGCATATTTTTCTTTTTTCTTTTTTTTTGAGACAGAGTTTTGCTCTTGTTGCCCAGGCTGGAGTGCAGTGGCGCAATCTCAGCTCACCGCAACCTCGGTCTCCTGGGTTCAAGCTATTCTCCTGCCACAGCCTCCCGAGTACCTGGGACTACAGGTGCATGCCACCATAGCCCGGGTAATTTTTGTATTTGTAATAGAGATGGGGTTTCTCCATGTTAGTCAGGCTAGTCTTGAACTTCCGACCTCAGGTGATCCGCCTGCCTTGGCCTCTTAAAGTGCTGGGATTACAGGTGTGAGCCACTGCGCCCAGCCTAGTGTGGCATATTTTAAGTTTGGAGAAAAATGTCCAAGTAGTTCAGTTTGAACATTAGATCATTTTACTACATTCCTTTCAATGCCTTCACATCTTTCAGAAGCTAGGCTGTTAGTGGTTGCTATGAAAAAAAGTAAGTAATGTGCAAAAATCAGTGTGAAACAGGAAATGACAGGGGCTGCATCCAAAGTTGGGAAGTTGTGCAGTGTACATACTAGAAATTTTGGTTGCTTAAAATGAAATAAAACATTTTAATTTTTAAATAAAAATATTTTTCACTGTATGTGTATTTTTTTAAAAAATGGCTACTAAGTTTTTAGGATGTAAACACTAAGTTCTTTGGACCTAAATACTTAAAAACGAAACCATTAGGTATTTTTAGCCTAGAGAAGCCATGAGAAAAACTACTGGGACACTTATGGTACCATAAACCAACCAAATTTGAAACCCTCTAGCCTAGGACAGTTACAGAATTTAAAAATGGTATCAAAATCTTTAAAAGCCTTTTTTTCCTATGCTACCCAGTAATAGTAATAATAATTACTAAGAGATACTGAGCACTCATTACATGTTAAGCATTTTACATAATAATTTTTAACCTCACAACAACTGTATGTGCCAAGTACTATTATCACCCTTGTTTTGCAGACAAGAAAATGGGTGTTTAGAATAACTTCCCCAAGGTAACCCATGCCAGTAAGTTATACCACTTAAAGAATCTTCTATTGCTTTAGAGAAAGCTTACTATAAAGTCACATAATTCTCAAATCACTTGAAGATGACAACTGTGGAAGGAGGGAGGATATTAAGCCTTAATTTTCTCCAACCCTCCTCAATGTCTAATGTTGGCCGGACACACTGGCTCATGCCTGTAATCTCAGCAACTCAGGAAGCTAAGGCAGGAGGATCGCTTGAGCCCAGGAGTTCAAGACCAGCCTGAGCAACACAGCAAGATCATATCTCTTAAAACAAACAAAAAGTTATCCAGGTGTGGTAGCACACTTGTAGTCACAGCTACTTGGGAGGCTGAGGCAGGAGAATCACTTGAGCCCAGGAGCACAAGGCTGCAGTGAGCTATGATCATGTCACTGCACTCAAGCCTGGGCAACAGAGCAAGGCCTGCGTGTGTGTGTATATATTTATGCATAATTTTTTTCAAAACATAAACTTTTTCTATTACATAAAAATATACAAGATCACCTCCTACTAGCTAGGTTACAATCTAGCACATTTCATCAAAACATATCAGTTTCACTGGCAATAATAAATCTGTTCAGCATGATTCTTAGCAAACTAACACAAGAACAGAAAACCAAAAACCACATGTTCTCTCTTATAAGTGGAAGCTAAATGATGAGAATTCATAGATACAAAGACAGGAACAACAGACATTGGGGCCTACTTGAGGGTGTAGGGTGGGAGGAGGAAGAGGATCAGAAAAAATAACTACTGGGTCCTAGGCTTAGTACCCGGGTAACGAAAAAAATATGTACTACAACAACAAAAAATCAAAAGAAAATGTATATATACACAATGGAATACTGTTCATCCTTTAAAAAGAATAAAATGCTAGGCTGGGCGCAGTGGCTCACGCCTATAATCCCAGCACTTTGGGAGGCAGAGGCGGGTAGATCACTTGAGGTCAGGAGTCCGAGACCAGCCTGACCAATATGGTGAAACCCCATCTCTACTGAAAATACAAAAATTAGCTAGGTGTGCCAGCGTATGTCTGTAATCCCAGCTACTGGCGAGGCTGAGGCAGGAGAATTGCTTGAATCCAGGAGGCGGAGGTTGCACTGGGCTGAGATTGCACCATTGCACTCCTTCCTGGACGACAGAGACTCTACCTCAAAAAATAAATTAAAATATGGCCGGGCGCGGTGGTTCAAGCCTGTAATCCTAGCACTTTGGGAGGCCGAGACAGGCGGATCACAAGGTCAGGAGATCGAGACCATCCTGGCTAACATGGTGAAACCCCGTCTCTACTAAAAAATACAAGAAACTACCCGTCGAGGTGGCGGGCGCCTGTAGTCCCAGCTACTCAGGAGGCTGAGGCAGGAGAATGGCGTAAATCCGGGAGGCGGACCTTGCAGTGAGCTGAGATCCGGCCACTGCACTCCAGCCTGGGCGACAGAGCGAGACTCCATCTCAAATAAATAAATAAATAAATAAATAAATAAATAAATAAATAAATAAAAATAAAATCCTATCATTTGCAGCAAAATAAAGAAATCTGTTCAGGAGAAAAATATTGAGATAAAATAATCTTTGAAGAAGAAGAAAAATTAGCTTTATGGTTTATTGGTTATACTTTACCAGTACCTTTTGTGTTTGTGTGTAACATTAAATCTCATTTAGATATAAGAAAGCTATCAGCTGAATGATGTGGGTCATATAAGGTGTCTTTTCATTTAGAAAGGGTTCTGGAGTAACATGCAGACCCAAGTTTGAATCCCAGCTTTTCTTTACTAAACTGTGCATCTGTTTTTTCACCTGTGAAAATGGCATTAGGCCAGGCGCAGTGGCTCACGCCTGTAATCCCAGCACTTTGGGAGGCTGAGGCAGGCGGATGGATCACTTGAGGTCAGGAGTTCAAGACCAGCCTGGCCAACATGGTGAAACCCCGTCTCTACTAAAAACATAAAAATTAGCTGGGCATGGTAGCAGGCACCCATAGTCCCTGCTACTTGGGAGGCTGAGGTAGGAAAATTGCTTGAACCCAGGATGCAGAGAATGCAGTGAGCTGAGATGGCAACCACGGCAATCCAGTCTGGGTGACAGAGCGAGACTCTGTCTCTAACCAAAAAGAAAAGAAACAAAATGACATTGATATAACCTTCACTGGATTGTCAAAATTAAACAAGGTAACTTATGTAAAGAGCTCCCAGCATAGAACCTAATATACAAATATTCTCCTTTCTTCCTTTCCTTTTCAGGTGGCCGGATTAGAATCATTTCATTCTCCCCCCCCCCCCCCCCGGTATTGGTTCTTACAAGCCAAGTCTGCCATCTATGTAGGGTAACTGTGGTATATACCAGTAGTGTATATGGCTGGGCTTGCAATTTAGTCCCTCACAACTTAGATACCAACTGCATGAATAACTTATTTCAGTGATGCCCTATGAAACTATTATGGATGTGTTCACTTTTCCTTTTCATTAAACATCCTTTCCTGATGTTCCACCTTATATAAAGGTGTTTGTTATCTGATGGCATCTTTACTGTGACAGTGATCCCCACAAGAGATACAGAAAGCTAAAGATTCTTCACCTCTCAAGCATATGCCTTCATCAGTGATGTGTGTTGCCAAGATCTCATTTCTACGCATACTCCCCACCCCTCTCCCTCTCCTGCTCTTCTTTCAGCAACTTGGATTTTCCCCCATCACTAATAAGGTTATGAGAATACTGCCTTTCTACTTGACAGTGAACTGGACCAATGCAGTAACTCACTATGATTACTTTTGTGACTGCACAGTGATCTATTCCAATCAGTTACTTCAAAAGAAATTGGACAAGACAAAAAGGAACATTTTAAAACATTACCTTACCATTCCAACATGCCGATCAACATTAAAAAGTCGTTTGTTGGAACCTTCTTCATAAAGTTTAGAAAGGACTAATTTTTCTACCCCAAAGACAACACCATCTTTGCATCTGATTCCAATAGCTGTACTGAAACAAGGAGAAGAAAATCAGTTTTTTAACTGAAAATAAACTTCATAAACTTACAAAAAACCAAAATAAAATAAGTAACATTTAAGGCATGCCAAATACCTTAAAACATTTGAAAACCAGGAAGAGAAAACACACTGAAGTGTAATAAATACATTAAATCCATATAAATATCATGTGACCCTCCCTCCAGAATCTAGTACATCATTTGACTAAAAATATATTAATATATAAGTATAAAAATGCTAATGAAACACAATATGGCGCAGTGTCTGACTTATGATAATTATGTTATAAACAAATGACATAAATTCATGTCCATTAAAAATGGTACATAACAGACATATAAAAGACAGGTTAGATACAAACTTAAAAGTTAACAGTGACTGTTCTGGGTAGAAGAATTATGATTTATTCTTCCTTTTGCTCATCTCTTTCTTCCAATTTTCCCATAATAAACATATTGCTTCTAATAAGTATATAAAATATATGTTCTGCTACAACTGTTTAAAATAAAAAGATCTTAAAATAACCTCTTAATGCCAGGCATGGTGTAATCTCGGCACTTTGGGATGCTGAGGCAGGAGGATCTCGTAAGCCCAGGAGTCCAAGACCAGCCTGGGAAACATGGCGAAACCTGGCTTAGCCAGGCATGGTGGTACACGCCTACAGTCCCAGCTTCCTGGGAGGCTGAGGTGAGAGATTGCTTGAGCCCAGTTAGATGGAGGCTGCAGTAAGCCAAGATTGCACCACTGCACACCAGTCTGTGCAACAGGGTGAGACCCTGTCTCACACACACACACACACACACACAACCTCTTAAGTAAAATGTGGAGAAATTACATGTTGCCATTTCAAGATGAAAATGTGTTACACTTTAGTGTTCTGTTCCTTTCTGATAAAGGTAGTTCTGATTGGAAACAATAGAGACAAAATAAGCAATGCTTGATTGTACAGTTTTCTGGTAAAATTATCTCAACTTTCTCCTCTTTTTTTTATTTTAAAGAAATGGAGTCTTGCCATATTGCCCAGGCTTGACTTGAAGTCTGGAGCTCAAGTGATCCTCTCACCTTAGTCTCAGTAGCTGGGACTACCAGCACAACTTCTCTATTTTGGGTAACAGCATCACCAAACTCTACATCCTCCAGGTTGAGCTTCTATTTACTATTAATTTTTTTTCTTCAAAATTTCCTTCATGTCCACTTCTTTACAATAATTATACCAGCATTGGGATCCTTATAATTTCAGGCCTACATTACTACAGCATCTTTTCTACTTCTCTAATCCATTTTATCTAAGACCAGCCTAATTGCTAGCTTTGTTTCATTTTGCCAGTCATAATCTAAAAAGGGATCCACAACCTAAAAAGCAGGGGAATTGTGTCATTCACAGGTCTCTTAAAATCTGATGAAACTATGGCATTTCTTCCCAGAAAAATGAACAGATGCACACAACAAATTTTCTAAGAATTTCTGACACTGCTTCCCCAACACTTTAGGTGTCTTCCATAGCTCCCCTTGCAAGTTTAAACTCCTAAGAGTCTGGCAGAGCCCCCTGAGCATATTCAATTTCCTGTTATAAATTCTGTACTCTACTGAAGTTACCTCACTGTCAACCTTCAAACACCTCATGTTCATTTTTGATTCCATGTCTTTGAGGTTATCCTGGATGCTAGAATACATTTCCTCTTCACCACTGCTAATTTAAATGAATTTCCCCAAAAGGTTTGCAAACTTACTTAAGCTCTACAGGTCAGAATGTAACCTCAGGACTTTGGAAGGCCCAAGTGAGAGGATTGCCTGAGGCCAAGAGTTCAAGACCCATCTGGCCAACATTTTGAAACCCTGTCACTTTTTTTTTTTTGGAGATGGAGTCTCGCTCTGTCTCCCCGGCTGGAGTGCAGTGGCGCGATGTTGACTCACTGCAACCTCCACCTCCCGGGTTCAAGTGATTCTCCTGTCTCAACCTCTCAAGTAGCTGAGATTACAGGAGCACACCGCCACACCCAACTAATTTTTTGTATTTTCAGTAGAAACGGGGTTTCACCGTGTTGCCCAGGCTGGTCTCGAACTCCTGAGCTCAGGCAATCCACCTGCCTCAGCCTCCCAAAGTGCTAGGATTACAGGCGTGGCTCACGCTCAGCAGGAAGCCTGTCTTAATTATCTCAACTCAACATCTTCCTCAATGTTTAAAACATTCTTGAAAATCTGGAAATCTCTGAGATCCTCTCAGGCAGTCTTCAAGGTAAATAATTTTCAAAAGAATTCAAAGACTTCGGCTGGGTGCAGTGGCTCACACCTATAATACCAGCACTTTGGGAGGCCTAGGCAGGCGGATCACTTGAGCTCAGGAGTTTGAGACCAGCCTGGGCCACATGGTGAAACCCTGTCTCTACAAAAAATTAGCCAGGCATGGTGGCATATGCTTGCAGTCCCAACTACCTTGCGGGGCTGAGGCAGGAGAATAGCTCGAGACCAGGAGGTCGAGTCTGCAGTGAGCTGTAATCACACCACTGCACTGCAGCCTGGGTGACAAAGCAAGATCCTATGTTCTGCCCCTAAAAAAAGTTTTTTTTAAAAAAAAGGAATAACAGGCCAGGCACAGTGACTCACACCTGTAATCCCATCACTTTGGGAGGCCAAGGCAGGAGGATTACTTGAGCCCAAAAGTTCAAGACCAGCTGAGGCAACACAGTGAGACCATGTCTCTTTTTTAAAATGAATTTTTTTTTTTTTTTAAATAAGAAACTATCATTTGTTCAGTTTTGGTGTATCAAAGACAGGTTACATAGACCGTTAAAAAGAACTTTTAGGCTGGGCACGGTGGCTCATGCCTATAATCCCAGCACTTCAGGAGGCCGAGGCAGGTGGGTCACCTGAGGTTGGGAGTTCGAGACCAGCCTGACCAACATGGAGAAACCGTCTCTACTAAAAATACAAAATTAGCTGGGTGTGGCGGTGCATGCCTGTAATCCCAGCTACTCGGGAGGCTGAAGCAGGAGAACTGCTTGAACCCAGGAGGCGGAGGTTGCAGTGAGCCAAGATCACGCCGTTACACTCCAGCCTGGGCAACAAGAGCGAAACTACGTCTCATTATAAAAAGAAGAAGAAAAAAAGCACTTTCCTCACTTTTTCTCTTTCTGAGACAGTCTCTGTTGCTTAGGCTAGAGTGCAGTGGTGCAATCTCGCCTCACTGCAACATCCACCTGCCAGGTTCAAGCGATTCTCCTGCCTCAGCCTCCCAAGTAGCTGAAACTACAGGCGTGTGCCATCACGCCCAGCTAATTTTTGTATTTTTTTATTTTTTAGTAGAGACAGGGTTTTACCATGTTGGCCAGGCTGGTCTTGAACTCCTGACCTCAAGTGATCTGCCCCCCCTCAGCCTCCCAAAGTGCTGGGATTACAGAAGTGAGCCACCACGCCCGGCTGCGTTTTTTCTTCATTCAGGAAAAAAACACATTCGTTTTTAAGGTTTCAACTTTTAAAAATATTTTATCTTTGCATAAATCTGACTTTTAAAAAATCATATTTAGGCTGGTCGTGGTGGCTCACACCTGTAATCCCAGCTCTTTGTAATCATGAGAAATACAGGACTGGGGCTACTCTTTGGGAGTGCAAGGCAAGTGGATCACTTGAGACCAGGAGTTTGAGACCAGCCTGGCCAACGTGGCGAAACCCTGTCTCTACTAAAAATGCAAAAATTATCTGGGAATGGTGGCACATGCCTGTAATCCCAGCTACTGGGGAGGCTGAGGCAAGAGAATCACTTGAACCCAGGAGGCAGAGGTTGCAGTGAGCCAAGATCATACCACTGCACTCTAGCCTAGGTGACAGAGTGAGACTCAAGTCTCAAAAGAGAAACAGACATAGAAAAAATCTTTGCTGAATCGAACATGTGACTAATTGCAAAAGACATTTAAAACACAAGATGTATGAGACATAAAAAATAACAAGGTCACAAATCTAACGGCCAAGGAAGCCTATGATACAAATCAAGAATTTGAAAATGGAAAACAAAAAGATGATAATGAATGTGATTTTATATACTCTGCAACATGGATAATCTAAGTGGATAATCCTGGAATCAACGAGAAATACAGGACTGGGGTTCATGGAAAACATCTGGCCTAGAAAGAGATCTAGAAATGAATAGAGATTTGGGGACATATACTAATTTGTGCCAAAGTAACATAACAAAGCCTAATCACCAAAATATAAAATAAAAGGAGACATGTAATACCTGGTTAAATGTTTCTTACCTACTATTCTCCACAGCCTTCATAGCATATTCAACTTGAAAAACTCTTCCGTCAGGAGAGAATGTAGAGGCTGACAGGTCATACTTAAGGAGAAAAGGCAACAGTAAGCTTTTATCTTTGGCAGTAATGACCATACAGTTTCTTCCCCTCTAAATGGCTTAAGCATCAGGAACATGTTATATCCCAATAAAGACCTTGCTTTCAAGAGAGGAAAGGGAAACTTGTCAGAGCAGCAACAGTAGCTAAGGTAAAGCTATATACCTTAGATTTCAGCTATTGAAGAGTAATGGATACAAGTCCCAGGTGAAGTCAGAACACTTTTCACACAGACTACAAAACTCATTTTTGAAAAAGATTAATATGGGGCAGTAGAACCACCACTGGAGTTCGAACATTTAAATTTGTAACCATAACTCTGCAATTAACAAACTAAAAGACTTCAAACAAATCATTTGGCATTCACCAAGCACTTAATGAGTATCTATTATGTTAGTCCACTACATGGAATACAAAGGTGATCACTCATTCATTAAGTCCTTCAATTTCAAATCAGACATGAATCTAGGTGCTAGAGATACAGCAGTAAATCAGAAAAGGCACTAAGATGAACATAAAAGAGTAAAGCAATGGAAGGAACTACTACAGACTACATCATCAGGGAAGGCCTTCTGGGGCAGTAATATTTAGGCTGAGTCAAACCTAAATGACAAGAAGCTAGCCATTTAAGATATGAAGGAAAAGCCTTCTTGGCATTTGGCACAAAGATCTTAGGGTAGAAATAAGGCTAGCACAGTCAAGAAACAGAAGTAAGGTCACTGTGTCCCGAGCACTGTAAGCAGCAGAAAGAAGAGTAGACTCTGTTAGTGAGGTAGCTGAGGGTCAAATTATGTTGGGTCTTCCAGGCTGGAATAAGGACTTTGTATTTTATTCTAAATGCAACGAGGAATTTAAGCAGGGGGAGTGGTATGATCTACATTTTAAAAAACATCATTCTGGCTTTATGTGGAAAATGAATTCTAGAGAGAACAACAGAAGCAAAGATAAAGTGTTCCAAAGATAGTGGTACTAGCTTAGACAAGAGAAGAGGTAGAAGAGAATACTTTTTCAGAGTATAGTAAAAAAATAAAAATAATAAAAATAAACTTGCGAGGCCGGGCATGATGGCTCATTCCTGTAATCCCAGCACTTTGGCAGGTCGAGGCAGGCTGATCACAAGGTCAAGAGATCGAGACCATCCTGGCAAACATGGTGAAACCTCGTCTCTACTAAAAATACAAAAATTAGTTGGGCGTGGTGGTGTGCACCTGTAGTCCCAGCTACTCGGGAGGCTGAGACAGGAGAATTGCTTGAACTGGGAAGCGGAGGTTGCAGTGAGCCAAGATCGTGCCACTGCACTCCAGCCTGGCGACAGAGCAAGACTCCATCTCAAAAAATACAAAAATAAACTTGCTAAAGCGTTGGTTCTGGAAGTAAAAAAAGGAATTAAAGATGAATCACAGATGTTTTCATATGACCATTCACTGAGCTGAAGACTGTAGTACATGCAAAATGGCAAGGTAAGGAGAAAACCCAGAGCTCTACTTTGACATGCAGTACAACATAAACAATCAAGTGGACAGACATGTCAAGCAGACAAACAATTATTCATATCTGGAGTTCTTGGGAGAAATGAACACAGAAGATAAGCCTTCAACAGTGGTACTTTCTGAGTCTGTTTCCTGTTAAACCCAGATCATTAACCCTACCATTGTTACTAAAATATCCCACATGGTTATATTATCAAGTATTCTTTAAAAGGTTTGTAGAATGAAATACTATTAATTGAAGGTAATAATATAATTGCAAAGTCAGTTTGCTACAAGATTTATTATTGAGCATTTACTTATCTAAGAAAAGTATGGCAGAACTTCAGCATTCATAACCGAATGGATTAAACCATTCCAGACATAAATTGCCTATTATCAAATTTAGAACACCAGTACTTGAACTTAAGGCTGAGCATGAGAATCTTGTTAAGTAGAAATTGAGGAACTGAGAAACTCATTATTCAGTAACTCTAGTGCAAATAACCAATAAATCTTGTAGAAACTGTATTTTCTATATAGAGAAGTACATAAAAGGAGTAAACTGCACATATACATACGTTTAACAAAGCAAAGCCAAACAAGTTAACAAGTCCCACTGCAAAATCCTCAACAGTCTATCAAAAGTCTGAAGCTGTTAAGTTCCTAAGTAACCACTTAAACGTTTACGGAATAAATGCCTACAAGTGCTGTTAGGTACTTTGTATAGGAAAAAGAAGGACAAAGGAAAAACTGAAGGATTCATCAGATTTAGTTATTCAGATCATTTTTATTAGTTCTGTTCGGATAGGGTTTCCAGTGACTCTTAAACTGAGCGGTCGACGATCTGCACACTTAAAGACAGAGAAGGCCCGTGAATCAGCAGCAACCTGGGAACGGCAAACGCAGTCCACAGAAAGCACGATCTCCAGACCGTGGAATCCCAAATCTCACTGCCTCGGTGGTTCTCAAGAGAACACACTATTTCAAGCCCCACGAGTTTCCACTTTCGGTTTCCCTAAGTGGCTGAAGAAAGTGACTCAGCAATCCAAAGCTGCTCCAAACCTCACCGCGGCGACGCCAAGCCGGCTACACCTGGGCTGAAAAGCTTCAGGAGTCATGGTCACCTGAGACGCAGGCCTAGCATATGGGGGATAAAGACGACCGGTCTCCAAACAGCTGCAAGTGGCCCACCCAGCCGAAGGCGGTCTTAGAGCACCCCAGGTTCGCGAAACCCTTGTGGTCTGTCCCAGTTCCCTTCAACCCCAAGCCTTAGGTTAACTATCACACCCAGAGACAGCAAACTCACCCCGGTGCCGATTGAGCTCATCGTGCTAAACCCAACGGGACGCGTAAGGATTCCAGGCCTAGAGCGCTTCCCCTACACCACAGGATGCCGCAAACTAGTAACAGACCCGCTCATTGGCTGCATCGCCAACCAATAACCTTTTTCTCTGTAGCTCGTTCCGCGGCTCCGGCCCCCAGGACCAGGAGTATTGTGGGAAAGAAGCGGGACGCTAGAGGCTGGCGGCGCGCATGTTCAGAAGCAATGGAGGCGGGGTTGGGGAAAGCAAAGGCTCCGCCTTTAGTTCACGTACTTTGAGTTTTTGGCGTCGTTTTATCTGAGAAGCTGCTCTATTCCTTTCCTAGGAATTATTATTTATCTTTTTATATTATTATTCCCTCCTCGTCACTGTATTCTTTCTTTAAGCAAAAGGGAGAGATGCTCGTATACTCACAAAGAATAGAAAAAGCAGTAGGCGCGAAGTAACCTGTCTTCCTCCGCGTCCCCATCCTGACCTAGAATCTTGATGGCATCCACCTCACCTTCTTATGCCAGGCTCTCGGGAAGTTTCGCTTCAAGGGTATCGTCTTTGAATTCAGCTTGGAATTTTACACAAGTATTAGTGCTCTTTCTATGAGTATAACGCTTTTTGGTAGAGTTAAAGATATGTCTGATTAAAGATATTTATTAAGCGCTAATATATTCCACGTGTTCAAGAAAAAGCTGTAAACAGAACATACCACCATTTCTTTTTTTTTCTTTTTTTTTTTTTTTTTTTTTTTTGAGACGGGGTCTCACTCTGTCGCCCAGGCTGGACTGCAGTGGCCGGATCACAGCTTACTGCAAGCTCCGCCTCCCGGGTTTACGCCATTCTCCTGCCTCAGCCTCCCGAGTAGCTGGGACTACAGGCGCCCGCCACCTCGCCCGGCTAGTTTTTTGTGTTTTTTAGTAGAGACGGGGTTTCACGGTGTTAGCCAGGATGGTCTCGATCTCCTGAACTCGTGATCCGCCCGTCTCGGCCTCCCAAAGTGCTGGGATTACAGGCTTGAGCCACCGCGCCCGGCCTTATACCACCATTTCTAATGGAATTTACATTCAGTAGGAAGAAATAGATAACGATAAATAAGCAAAATAGTAAGAAGGAAGAGTGCTTTAATAGAGAATGGAGGTACTAACTTTAGGCAGTGTGCTCAGGGAATGACTTTCTAAGTGAGTGATATTTAAAATAGGGTAACAAAAGACAGTGGTTTAGGGAACAGTAAAAAACTTGGCTTGCGCTAGGAACTGTCACGTCAGAGTGACCCCTCATTAAGTGGGGAAGAGTGACAGGAAGAGAACAAGTGCACATGACAGCAAATCTTGAAGTGGTTTGAATTTTAATCCGATTGTAAATAGGGCATCAGCCTTTTTTTACTCCTAAATATTAATACGTCAGTGTGTATTCCCCCCCAACACAGGAACATTATTTTACATAGACACAGTAGTATTGTGAAAATCAGAAAACTAGCAATACTATGATCTATCAACTTTCCTTTTTTTTTTTTTTTTTTTTTTTTTTTGGTACATAGCTAAAGAAAATCCAAGATCACACCTTGCATTCAGTTGTCTGCTTTAGTCTGGAAAATAGCTGCTTAGTATTTCTTCATGTTTTGTTTGTTTGTTTGTTTTTGAGACGGAGTCTCGCTCTGTCGCCCAGGCTGGAGTGCAGTGGCGCGATCTCCCGCTCACTGCAAGCTCTGCCTCCCGGGTTCACGCCATTCTCCTCCCTCGGCCTCCCGAGTAGCTGGGACTACAGGCGCCCGCCACCACGCCCAGTTAAATTTTTGTATTTTTTAGTAGAGACGGGGTTTCACCGTGTTAGCCAGGATGGTCTCGATCTGCTGACCTTGTGATCCGCCTGCCTCGGCCTCCCAAAGTGCTGGGATTACAGGCGTGAGCCACTGCGCCCAGCAGTATTTCTTCAGTTATCATGACATGAACATTTTCGAAGAATACAAACCATTTATTTTGTAGAATATTCCTTAATTTAGGTTTGATTTTTTTGTTGTTATTTGATTCAAGTGATGCATTTGTGGCAGGAATACTACAGAAATGACCTTGTATTCATTCATGTCAGAGCATTATATTAGGAGGGACATGATGTTAGTTGTTTTATTGCTGATAATGTTAATTTTGATCACTGGCTGAAGATTTATCCCTGATAATGTTTCTACTTTTACCTTTGTAATTAGTATCTTGTGAGGAAATACTTTGAGAATATGTACACGTCCTGTTTACGCCTCAACATTGCACTCATTAATTCTAATATCTGATGATTCTTGTTTGAATTTATTATTACAATGGTTGCCAAATGGTGATTTTCTAATTCCGTCATTCCTTTCATTTATTACTGGTTTTCTACTGTGAGGTTATCAGGAGTTTTTAAAGCAGGAGAATTATATGATTTTATTTAAATCATTAAATGAGCTCTTATTTCTGTGTGAAGAATGATAGCTAAGGGAAAGAAGAGAAACAGGGATACTAGTTGGAAAGTTATTGCACTTTTGTGAGCTAGCAGTAATGGAGAGTGATTTGGACTAAAGTGGTGGCAGTGGAGGTGGAAATGTGTGGATGGATTTCAGATGTGTAGGGTGCTATGGTTTGAATGTCCTCTTCAAAACACGTGTCGAAATTTAATTGCCAATGTAATGGTATTGCCATGTGGGGCCTGTAAGAGGTGATTAGATCATGAGGGCACTATGGATGAATGTCATTTCTAGAATAGGTTAGTTATCTTGGGAGTGGGTTCCTAATACAAGGATGAATTTCAATGGATTTCAGCTCTCTGTCTCACATGTTCGCTTGCTCTTCTGATCTTCTGTCGTGGGATAATACAGCACAAGGCCCTTGCCAGATATCAGTGCCATACTCTTGAACTTCTAAAACCATGAGCCAAATAAACTTTTCTTGTTTGTTATTACCTAGTCTGTGGTATTCTGTTATAGCAGCAGAATATGGGCTAAGACATAGGGTTTGCAGAATTAGATATAGAAAGTAAGGGGAAAAAAGGAATTTCAGTTGCTTTTTCCTGCGAATGAAGTATTACAATTGATGTTTTTATTTTTGAACAAATTGATAGATAAAAGGACTTGAATTACTTGGAAGACTGGCCACTTAATTTACCTAACCCTCGTTAAAACATTCCAGTTGTAATTCTTTTTTTTTTTTTTTTTTTTTTTTTTGAGACTGAATCTTGCTCTGTCACCCAGGCTGGAGTGCAGTGGCATGATCTCTGCTCACTGCAACCTCTGACCCCCCGGGGTTCAAGCGATTCTTCTGCTTAAACAGCCCGCGTAGATGGGATTACAGGTGTGCACCACCATGCCCGGCTAATTTTTGTATTTTTAGTAGAGACTAGGTTTCACCATGTTGGCCAGACTGAGCGCACACTCCTGACCTCAGGTGATTCGCCCTCCTTGGCCTTCCAAAATTCTGGGATTACAAGCCTGAGCCACTGAACCTGGCCTCTAGTTGCAATTCTTTCCTGGGGAGTTCCGATTTAGACCACGATAGTTCAAGAAAGGGGTGAAGAAAGCTAAAGGTTAATAGTTGCAAAAGGGTTGGCCTTGGAGGTAAACCATAAGTACTCAAAACTTGTTTAGGTATCCAGTTAATCTTTTAATTAACATCATTACCTGTATGTGATAAACACTATTTGAGCACCTAGTGCACTCAATATTTATTAATAATTAAGAATTTGGGGGCTCTTTCGGCCGGGCGCGGTGGCTCATGCCTGTAATTCCAGCACTTTGGGAGGCCAAGGCAGGCGGGTCACCTGATGTTAGGAGTTCGAGAACAGCCTGACCAACATGGTGAAACGCTGTCTCTACTGAAAATACAAAAATTAGCTGGGCGTGGTAGTGCATGCCTGTAGTCCCAGCTACTCCGCAGGCTGAGGCTGAGGCAGGAGAATTGCTTGAACCCGGGAGGCGGAGGTTGCCGTGAGCTGAGATCGCACCCAGCCAGATTCCTTCTCAAAAAAAGAAAAAAGAAAAGAAGGCCAGGCGTAGTGGCCCATGTCTGTAATCCCAGCCCATTGGGAGGCCTAGGCGGGTGGATCGCCTGAGATCAGGAGTTCAAGACCAGCCTGACCAAAATGGAGAAACCCCATCTCTACCCAAAAACACTAAATTAGCCGGGCATGGTGGCACATGCCTGTAATCCCAGTTACTTGGGAGGCTGAGGCAGGATAATCGCTTGAACCCGGGAGGTGGAGGTTGTAGTGGGCCGAGTTCATGCTACTGCACTCCAGCCTGGGCGACAGAGCAAGGCAACTCTAAATGTATACTATTTTATGACGTATCTTATTATTTTTAACTTGAATACCTCAGGAAATGTGATGCCCAATGTATCTAGCTTCCAAATACTGTGCTTTGGGGATACTATCATAAGAATTATTTATTTTCAGGTTTACAAATTGGTCTTTAACTTGCACTGCTAAGCAGTAGTATAAACACCACACTCCTCTCCATTATCACAGAAATTAGAAGTTTTTTTTTTTTTTTTTTTTTTGAGATGGAGTCCCGCACTGTCGCCTCAGCCTCCCGAGTAGCTGGGATTACAGGTGTCGGCCACCACTCCCGGCTAATTTTTTGTATTTTTGGTAGAGACAGAAGCGGGGCTAGGCTGGTCTTGAACTCCTGACCTCGTGATCTGCCTGCCTCCGCCTCCCAAAGTGCTGGGATTATAGGCGTCCCGCGCCCGGCCAGAATTTCTTATCTAGAAAGGTTCACCATCATTTCAGAATATGTATATTTCCATATGACATTATTCCAGTATCTCCTATGGTAATTTGATTAAAATCAGGTTTCTGACCCTTTGCCTCTTAGAGTTCACATTCTTTACCATTAGATTTAGAGACTGTAATTCTTTCCTCCCAGCTTCTGTCATTTGAGGAGAATAATAGCACCCTCCAAACGTCCTATCGCTCATTGCCAGACAATTACTCGAAAGAGAATTTATGTTAATTGACTCGAAGCCTCCTTTTCTGAATTTAACTCTCCTTCATCAGACCATACTAAAGAAAATAGCTAATCCCCGCGGTTGTTCAGGGAAACTAACCTCTCAGAGATTGGACTTTGTTTCTTAAATGCGGAGCCCAAACATGTAGGAATCCGGTATGCCATTTGATGGAAGTTGGATGGCCTTGATATGTATTTATGTAAACAAAACATACTGGTTGGTAAA